GTGTCCACGGTGGGTTCGACGATTAAATATTTTTATTTCATGTTTCGCCACTAATTGGGCCGGACGACAATATATCCAATTGGGCCTAAACCCATATTGGTTGTAATGTCAGCAGTGTATAGTTTTAGCCCATTAATCAGTCCAGAAAGATATTCAAGTTTTCGTGGACGTGTATTTGACTGATATAGATATTTTTGGGACTTTATACTACTTGTTATGTATGTTAAAAAACAACCACCTTCTTTTCTTTTGTAATCCTTGTGAGCTCCTCAATAAAATATTTTTTCAATTTGGCATTTTCACAAAGGGCATTGAAAATTAAAATAAACTAAAATAAAATTAAGACCTTGAAAATAAAAAATTCACAACTCACAAGTAGTGTCTAGATTAACATGTGTGACGATTTTAATTATCAAAATAATTTTAATTGACTTTAGTGGTATAACTAAACATCTTATAATAATAATAATAATATTAATATTAATAATAATAATAATAATAATAATAATAATAATAATAATAATAATAATAATAATTCTATTTTAGATAATTAATAAGTTAATCATGATCTCTCAAATTTATAAAAACTACATTATGAATTTTATTTTATGCAATTGTTGATAAACGAATTTGATCAACTATTTAAGTATAGATTATGACACATTAAAGCGTAAAGTGTGGTTTTATTGATTGAATACGATATTGTTTCAAGATACCGCAGGTCGGTATTTCATATGTGACGTCGGTTTTTCTTACACAGGAGGTCGGTTTTTATTCGAACTGAGGTGATAAATGTCGAATTTAATGTGTCGGAAAAATATCCTCGTATCTAATTTAATTATGCTATTTATAGTAACTCCTGGCTCGTCTTTTGAGGAAATACGCCGGCATTTAATGCGTTGTGACAGCATAGGCTCAGCTTTTCAGCGAGTGGATCCCCTGGCAATGATGGCTCTCACGTGGACCGAGACATCTGATGGACATGCATTTAATGCGGTCGACGACGGGCGACGTCGGCTTTTAGGGATTACGACTTGATCGAGATCGGTCTACTCCTTGAGGTCGGCTCACCTGCTCGGCAGATGCACTTCCTCTCATTCTCGGCTTTCCTGTTTGTCTCTTCTGAAGGTACACGTGTCACCAATTCGGCGTGAGAGGTGATTTTTATGTCAACAACAATCAATATAAAGATGAAGTTGAATACTTTTATAAGTGTTCATTTTTAATAATGATTTTATTTAAACAAAAATGTGATTTTATAATTTTAATATTATATACATACATATAACTTATGATAATTTAAACATCTGAGCATGTACACATGACCGAATACTAGTATTCTATTAAAATTAATATAATAATTATAAATACATTAAATTTTAAAAACTCTTTATGCTTAATAGTATTGATTATTTTATTTTATATAGGTTATTTTGAGAAATAATAAATGTAAATAAATTTTAATATATTATGAAACCATGCAAGTTCCGTTAAATAATTGGTTTAGATGTCCTAGCCTCTAGGCCCAATATTCTGCCGCTCATCAGCAGATTTTATTACATTGTCAATTATAATCTCCTGTGTCACTAATCCCATGCAAGTCTCTAACTCCATCCATTGTTAGCTTTTTATTTCCAATTTATGGTGGATTTGTTCCTATACTATAAATCATTTTCTGTAAGGAATTTAGATAGGATTATTATTGCCTACTACAAATCTTGTCGAGATAAGATGGTATTTAATATATATATATATATATATATATATATAATCCAAATTCAAAATTTTCAAAGATCGCCTCGATCCTCGATCTTAACGAAATCAAGTCTTAATTTGTTTGCACAATTTTCATTCTATTTTTTTTTTTTTCCAGACGATAGAAATTCTCATTAGAAACGAAGAAAAACATTACAAAGTTCAGCTACAAATACAATTAAAGCAAAAGCGAGCATCACCCGAATCAATGAACTAAGAAAACTGAAAAAACCGAGGGCCAAAGCCAGAGGAACCACATCAAACAATGAGTGGCCTAGATTTTAAGCACCTAAAAATGAGAGCTAATGCAATAGAAATGCACTGAAACCATTAGCTAACACAAAGAAAATCATCTATCAATAACAAAAGAGGATAACCCGACACTAGAAACTGAACTGCAAATGCAAACCTAACTAGCTAGAGACCCGGTTGTCTCTCTTTGAACTTTCCCGCAGATCCACAGTATCACTCCAAACTCTTGTAGCTGCCTGCACTGTGAGAAGTTTAGGGCGCCAGACATTTTCAAATTTCCACAAGTTCCTTGATTTCCACAGTCACTATATATATATACAAAAGTTGTTAATTGGATTCGGGCTTCAAAAACTATGAATTTATCTAGAGAACACACTTGGTTCCACCATTGCCTGAACCTGCTAAAATCTGCTTCAATACCATCCCAGCTAATTGGAGCATATTTCCGAACTAACTTTGCTCTTTTGCACCTAAAAAGGACATGTTCAATTGTTTCTTCTTCCTCTCCACATGTAGGGAATTCCAACCACACCGAAAATCCGCCCAAGATCCTCTGAAAATAAAAAATTGGAGAACACAAAATTTAACGTGGAAAACCCTCTGTTAACGAAGAGGGAAAAACCACCAGGGCAACAAGGCCGTAGAAAATCCACTATGTAAAAAAAATTACACAATTTTTCTACCACTCACTTACCCAAAATTACCCCACAGAATTTTCTACTCATTAACCCTAACTCTCACCCTAAGGAATTTTTACCCTAAGGAATTTTTACCAGAGATTAATTGTTAACACAATAACTCTGTGGGATGATTTTACATAAGAAGTAGCACTTTCTTATATAGGGGAAAAATCCCCTCCTCTCTCATCCCACTTTCGATGTGGGACAAAAAAGCAAAACCCAACAAACTCCACCTTGCGATTTTGGCCCATCTGACAGCCACTATTCACTTTGATGAAATTTTTCATAGCTTTCGCTATCATGCTCCACCATAAAAACATATCCACTCGGACTCGCATCCAAGCATTTCTTCGGCCCATGTCGAAATAACCTTGCTGAAATCTATGGTGCAACTTCCACGTTTGGCATTCCTAGAAGTTCATCAGCCCTCGACACGCTTTTTCCACCACACACCATGCATCACCGCCAAACCAATGCCCGTGTGTAAACTGTGGACCCGCTAATTGTAACAAGTCCTCTTTCATGACACTTAGCGACATGCCATAAGGACTCCTATTTCTCTCTTAGCAAAACTCATCCATGGAGAGAGAGAGACAAAATTAGCTTCTTCGGTATCTCCACTTACCGACTTCGAGCTTTTTGCTGAACCTGCTCCTTCTTTCGGACAATTTCTTTTCACGTGCCCAGATTGTCCACACGTCCAGCAAATCACAACTTGCTTCTTCCTGGAGTTCCTCTTCTTTCCGTCACCGACGAGCATGACTTGACCTTCCGGTGAATTGTTTCGTCCACCGTCTAGCCTTCTCTCTTCCGCAAGAAGTTTACCAGTGACTTCAGAAAATATAATTTTCTCCTTCCCATGAATCAAGATCGGCTTCATGTGTTCATAAGAAGTTGGAAGAGACCAGATGAGTCTCAACGCCTGATCCTCATCAATCATCTTCACTCCAATGGATTCCAGCTCCGAGACGATCCCATTGAGAACGCTTAAGTGGTCTGAGATGCTTTGACCTTCAGTCATTCGCAGTGTGTGAAACTGCTCCTTCAGATACACCCGATTTGAGACGCCTTTAGCCTGATACAACTCCTCAAGCTTGTCCCATAATGATTTTGCCGTCGAAATTCCATGCACATTAACAAGAACATTCTTGGCCAGACACAGTCGTATCGCGCTTGCCGCTCTCAAATCCAGTTCCTCCCAATCTTCATCGCTCATTCCAGATATGCTCACACCAGCTTTTTCTTCAGTGCTGCTGGTAGCACTGCCTTTGGGAATTTCCGAGCCCTTCAAAGCTTTGTGTAACCCCGACTGAATCAGCACGTCCTTCACTTGCACTTGCCACAAGCTAAAGTTGATTTTTCCGTCGAATTTCTCCACATCAAATCTCGCCAGATTCGATATCTTATTTCCAGACATCTTCGTGAATCAGTGAACACTAACTTCGCAGAAAACCGAGCAGCAACCTTTAATAGTACTGATCAGATAAATTCTCAGGGAGGGTAGCGACCTGTCCCCTAAAGAATTACCCTTCTAAGTAAGCTCCCAGGAAAGGCTGGTGGGGTCACAACGGTCCCACTTAAAAAACCAGTCTCCTAGACAGAACCTACTTACACAGTAATTATTCCCCACTGCCCAAAAAACTCCTTTGCACACAAGCTCCACCCGTCACTGGCTCCACCGCACGAAGAGACCTCTTTGGTATCTTTTCTGATGTGGAAGATCAGACAAAACTGCAACCACAGAGCATACTCAGAATACCAACTAGGCTAACCTCGCTCTTGATACCACTTGTAGGGAATTCCAACCACACCGAAACTCCGCCCAAGATCCTCTGAAAATAAAAACTGGAGAACACAAAATTTAACGTGGAAAACCCTCTGTTAACGAAGAGGGAAAAACCACCAGGGCAACAAGGCCGTAAGAAAATCCACATCCTTTGCAAATGACATCTACTAGCACTCCTTGGATTTCATATTTACATTGACCGGTAAAATACCATTCACACACTTAAGTGTAATTATTCGCGCAAAATCAATATCTTTATACAACAAGTAATTTAAAAAGATAGATATATTACCTAAAATTAAATAATATTTATACGAAAATATGGAAATGGAATAGTGCATATCATCCTACCCGGTATAACATATATGCACTTACCTTATCGCACATTTAATATATCTTCTGATATATTCACTTACCTTTAAATACACCCATATTGGCAAACACAATTCTCAACTCAAAAAATAAAATAAAATCAAACAAGCTCTATTTAATTCTTCTTTTTTCATCCTCCAACAAAATCAGATCAGATGGCAAACACGGTGAACCCGATTGTGAGGGGCAGCAAGGACTCGTCTGGTATCCTCGCCCCTCTCAAGTTCACCCGTCGTCGGGCAACGGGTGACAAGGATGTCCAGTTCGAGGTCATGTTCTGCGGGGTCTCCCACTCGGACCTCCACCTCATCAAGAACGACTGGGGCTTCGCCAACTACCCCATGATCATGGGCCTCGTGACTGAGGTCGGGCCCGGTGTCTCGAAATTCAAGCCCGGCGACAAGGTCGCCGTTGGCGTCATGGTCGGCTCGTGCGGCAATTGCGACTACTGCAGTTTCAGCCTCGAGAACTTCTTCCCCGAGAAGCTCGGGACCCTCACGTATGGCGGCGATCCGGATCTCATCATCGTCGAAGAGGATTTCGTCATCCGGTGGCCGGAGAATTTCCCGATGGGCCGCAGGGCCCCACTTGTCTGCGCCGGGATCACCACCTACAGCCCGTTGATGGATCTTATGTTAAGAATCTTCATATTTGTGTGTTGCTTCTTAATTCTTGTGTTAGTTCCTCTTATTTAATTAATGAATATATAAATACTATTAATCCATCCCCTATATATAATTACATAATGCGCTGAGCCTACGTGGTGAATTTTGGTATTTTTATTTTTATTTTTTGATACAAAATATGAATGATAATTTAATTTATATAATATGATATATGAATTTCATTGCCCAATAGAATTGAGACACATGTCCCATTTTTAAAAAAAAAAATCCTTATTTTTCATTCTCTACAAATAGAGACCACATTTGATACTTTTTTAAACACAATTAATTTATCATTTTTTACAATTAATTATCTTATTGGAAGATTATGACATAAATCTATAATTAGATGAATATGTTACATAGTAAGATGAATATGTTATAAAATAAGATGAGCATGTCATAGAATAAGATGAAAATATTATATTTTCACAGATGAAATTTAGATGGACATGTTCTAAAATAAGATGAACGTGTTACATAATAAAATAACATGTTACAGAACAAGATGAACATGTTACATAATATAATGAACATGTTATAGAATAAGATGAACATGTTACATGCACAATAAGGTGAACATGTTACATAAATAAAATGAACATGTTATAGAATAAGATGAACATGTTACATAATAAAATGAACATGTTATATAATAAGATGAACATGTTACATACACAATAAGGTGAACATGTTACGTAATAAAATGAATATATTAAATAATAAGATGAACATGTTACATGATTAAATGAACATGTTATAGAATAAGATGAACATGTTACATACACAATAAAGTGAACATGTTACAAAATAAGATGAATATGTATTGTTTCAATCTACAATCTGTAACATGTTCATCATATTTGAAAACATATTCATTTTATTATGTAACATGTTCATTATATGTCAGTATAATAAAATAATTACGAAAAATTATGAAAAATTATGAAAAAAATGAAAAATTAGTTGTGTTCAAAAACCTATCAAATGTGGTCTCTATTTATAGATAATGAAAAATTATGAATTTTGGTATTTTTATTTTATTTTTTTAATATAAATAATTAATGATATTTTAATTTATGTAATATGTCCCATTTTCCAATTAAAAAGAAAAATTGGGGATGTGAACTATACTCTCCAAATTTCTCTAGTATTGTGGAGTTTTGGGGAGTAAGGGAGCGCGTGCAAATGTGCCCTGACACACCTAGCTAGGTGTGCCAGGGCACACGGTAGTGGTACTGCTACTTGGCTGCTTACTGCTTCTGGTGCTTCGGAATCCTACTTGGCGAAGCATGTTGGCAAAGAATCATGCTTCGTAATTAGGTTTGGACAAATAATATTGATATATTAATAATTAATAATTTAGGTTCGGATATTCCATAAATATTATTTAGCTAACTTAGGTATTTTAA